GGGAGGAGGGGGATGGGGAATGAAAGACATGACTTGGGGGAAGGGGGTGGGAAGGGGGGGTGGGGGAGACAGACGAACTGAATAAAAGCAGGGTCCATGAGAAAGTAGCTCATAAGTCAGGTGAACTTTGTGAGCCTCAGCAAACACATACTGCACTCAGCAATGTTAAACACGCATCACTTGACATAACTGTTAAGGAGGAAGAGAATAACGAAACAGAAGATGTATATAATATATTCATAAACAGACAGTCCCACAAAACTGGGGATTAGCAAGATAATACATGAAAAAAACGTCCCGAGGAATACTTTGGGTGTACAATGAACAACATAATTGTAAGTTATCGGAGTAAAGAAATTAAAATCTAATACTTCAGTTCGTGTACATATAATATAATAAACTAAGGTGATCATTATGAAAAGGAAAATAACATATTTAGACTACAATCATTTCAAGGTCTCTTCACTAACAATTTTAGTTAACATGAACATAAAGCCAATATTTGAATCCTTCCCCTCATCCCTCCAGAAAAAAAAAATATTTAAAAATTGAAATGACAAAATTGCAAAATAAAATCAAGCTATTGAATACTTTTGCTCCTCTGAGGACAAAAATTAAAGCATTGTTGTATTTTTTCACAAAACCACAAAGATATCCATTAAGTTTGCACTCAACATAATGTCTATATATTTATGTCACTCAGGCAGTCCAAGAGATTTGTTACAGTTATGGCGATGCTCAGTTTCCAAAAAATACTTTAAACTACAATCCAGGGGAAAAAAACTTGTTTGAATTTCAATTCTCCGCACAACAGGTTTTTCTGAACTTTGCCTCCTATTCTATACAACGAAAACCGTATCCGACTATCTGAATAACTTTGCACATACAGCATTAAATTATCTGTACATAGTGCTCAGTTATATTTGGTGCATTCAGGCAAGAAAACAGGAGAAAACTAGGTTTGTCTGCTTGTTTGGGAGATAAAAATAAACAACGGCTGAACAAATGTTTTTACTTAAGACTCGAAAACTGCAATAACATCACAACAGAAAGAAACAAAGAGTCATAGGACAGAGGTAGGATCCGCTGCATGACCTCACCAAAGTACCAGGGCAAAAACAATAAAAGCTTGATCAACTTAAAAGACAATACTTGGGTGGAAGGTGGGGGATGACTTTGTGATGTTAGCTTTAAAATGACTCTCGTGTCAAATGAACCAATAAATAGAAACAATCCCAGAGAACAAAATATGATCTACAGATACACAAAAGTGGGACAGAACAAAACTCTGGGCAGAGGATACTCCTCTTACCATGCCAGACCACATCCCTGTGGGTGGGTG